TGGAAATCACGACCTTAATTTACTCTTGCTCATAATTTTGCTCTATTCACCGTTTTCATTTAAACTTTCTTCTGCACCACTATCATACACCAATAAACGTTTTAATGTTTTTTTGCGTAAGCAAACAGTAAATGTTGCAGTTTCTCACAACTTTATTCTCTCAATAAAGCTCAGGTGTGATGAGTTGTCAGCATCTGTCTGCAAAGCGCTGATGCCATTTCGTCTGATATATGTGCTTTACAGGTACTACTATTATGTGCTACAATCAATTATTACCTGCACAGGTACCAGGTGCCTATACATTTTGTGCAGTAAATTATCTGCGCACCGTTATGTTTCCACAAAATAAGTTAGTTCCACATGAAATGACTGTTTAGCACATAATGGAAATTTAGTGTCCTTTCCATCATTTGGTTGTTTGTGATCGAAATTGCACATAAGGAAACAGTATATAGATGCGACAAATGCGTTGCTAACGGAGCGCTCCTGGCGATAAATTAAGCGATCAGTGTTTTAGGCGTGGTAATGCGCAAGCTACGTGGTGGTGTTATTAATATTATTATTATTAATAGTACGCCTATCGCCGTCGTCCATCTGACGTTCAATGCGATGATATCAAAAAGAAAACAACCGTAAACTGGCTAAAATCAAGCACCAAACAATACATACCACAGAGTTTATGCCGAATTCTTTTCAGCGATAATTCGGCCCTCGAATCACGCTGTCCATCGCGTTGCTGCGATTCCGGTGGTGCTCGTTTGCCACCAGCTGAATTTTTTTCAAACAAATGCACACATTATAATATCGTCTCAAACAATCTTCACATTATGACCAATGAAAGTTTCAGGCATCTTTTGGCTTAGGCTTCAAAGCAAACGCAACGCATTTCTTGCTTGCCTTATTCGTTTCGCGATGAGGCCGTAAAAGACGAAATATTCAAAAGAAACATCGGTTTCGGTAGGCAAAAAGGTTAACAATTACTCTCATTAATGATAATAAATAAAGTGACAAAACAAAACAATAAACTACTGAAACAAACCTTCCATAAGTCGCCAGTTGATGAGAGGATNCGTTTCGCGATGAGGCCGTAAAAGACGAAATATTGAAAAAAGAAACATCGGTTTCGGTAGGCAAAAAGGTTAACAATTACTCTCATTACTGATAATAAATAAAGTGACAAAACAAAACAATAAACTGAAACAAACCTTCCATAAGTCGCCAGTTGATGAGAGGATCGTAGACGAATGCCTCGAGCACGGCCAATAAACTCTCTTTATTGGAACGCAACACGCGCAATACCCTTTCGCAAGTTATGCGATAATTACCCTCGATACCCGTCGATTCCATCGCCTTCAAATTTCATTTCATTTTCCTAGATGTGACCTCCTTCTTAATGTTCACTTAACAATCTTCATATCCACTTTTTATTTTTCACGAACTCACTTCTATGTTTGAACATTTTTGCACTGATTCAGTGAACAATAATTAATAAGCTCAAATGTGACATCATTAATCGATTGGGCTGAAGAAAGAAGACGAAATGAGCGTGAACGCACCTGAATGAGCATTCGCGTCAATCTGAACGGAATCTTTTCGGGGAATTTCTCGCGTGTCATCGCCACCTCAAAGCAATCACCGAAATCAATGTGCACTATTTTGCCGTTTATTCGATCGAGCATCAAGTTTGACGGATGCCTTCAAAACATTCATTCATTAATCACAAATAATTACCAAACATAATATGAAGAAAAATTACAATTTTATAACATTGAACGATCGATCAGCTATTGGATTGTACGTACGCAAGTCTATAAACGAAAATTAAGATCGAGAAAAGTCACCATAAGATTGCCAGACCGTGTCTGATTAAAACTACAAAAGATTCAACGAAAGAACTATACATAGGTAGGTAAAGTAAATAATTGTTGCCTCACCTATCGCCCAGACCGAGAATATAACCAACCATGGACATGCACGCCATCGACCGTGTGTAATTGGTTCGTCTTTCGAACCACACTTCAGAGCTGTATATACATATGTTCTACTGGATCGACTATTTTCACAAGTTCAGCAGAATAGTTTAAGATTAAACGGAATTGAAGTGTGCACATAATGAGCTTCATAAGTGTACTCATACAATAATAAGTTCGTAAACGTTATCAATGAATCGAAAAATCGAACAAACAACGAAACAAACTCAGGTGATTTAAGCCACAAAATTTGTTGCAGATCGTTACCACTCGTCATTTCGAGGGCATGCTCAAATACCTGCAGAAAATGGTGTTGAAAAACGAGTGAATAAGTGCATAAATCAGTAGTTCTCAACCTTTCCCCCTCGCACCCCCTAAAAAATTTTAAGATGTCCCCACAACCCCTACAACAATAGCTAAAATGTCCTCGCACCCCTCAAAACATCCACTTTGTACCTTTCATTCACTACACCAAGTGTCCATAGAGTAGATAAGAGTACACCATTAGACTACGTTTTAGCCTTTTCAAAAATATGCACGCTGAAGTCCACCCTCGCCTACTTTACA